CGCGCACACGCACACCCTCGGCCCCAGTGCGGGAAGGGGAAGATGGCCGTTTCTGCTGCAGTATAAAGGCTCTTTGTTGCGCTCACACAAAAGCCGCCAAGACCCGCTTTTGCAGCAGGCCCTTGGGGCGAATCGAAGGAACCCAGCTGAGTTTCCAAATGGCCGGAGAAGCCTGCCGAGGGGGGAGCAACTCAGGAGAGGGGAAGAGCAGGCCTCCCGCCCTCGGCTACCCCAACCTCTGTCACTACCCAAGTGCTCGTCGGGGAGCTGGGGGTGGAGGTCCTTCGTCAGGGAGGAAGGGAGGAAGGAAGAAAACCTACTTTCACCATCAAGGCCCAAAGCGGGTATTAAACATTCACATTCTTGTAGGGTTTCTCCCCTTAACCAGGGTAGAAACTTAATCTGGGAAAAAAAAAAAGTCTGGACACACCAAAAAGAAAAAAAGAAAGAGAAAAAAATACCAACAATAGCAACTTAAAAAAAAAAAGCAAAAACATAACAAACCAGTTGCCATCAGCCCAAAGTGGTAGTAGCAGCAGCCGGCGCGTGTGATCCACTTACTTGTCCGACTCTTGTGACATGTTTGATCCAATGAACTCGCTCCCCTTTTCCTGGAGCCTCAGCCTCTGGTGAAACTGGACTTTCAAGTCTGTGCAGGTGAAGGTGTGTGAGAGCGCCCGAGATGGCAGAACAAGAGCTACAGGTAATTCTGCTTTTCCGTCCCCCCGCACCACGCTCGCTCGCTCGCCCGCTCGCGCCCTCACCTAGCCGGAAAGGTGGGATAAGGGGGGGCCCCTCACATTGGGGCCCGCGCTCGGAGGCGGCCGGGCGGCGCGGGGTCCAAAAAAAGCAACACCTGCAACCACTAGGGATTATGGGTGGAACGGAAGGACTAAGGAGAGCTGAACTGGGATCCCCCGCCAACCGGAATCCAAGGCGCAGCGCAACCGCCGGGCTTTTTCGAGGACTGTTCGACGGTTTCCGAAGAGTTTGAAGTTTACTCTGTGCTCAGAGGAGGGGAAAACACAACGATTGCCGGGTTTGTTGCGTGATTTCATTTGTAACATACCCACCACCAGCACTTTTCGTGCCCCAATTTGGTGTAAAATACGCCCAGTAGATTACAGCTTTTCTAAGAGGTGAGCATCCTTGCGTGAGCTGGGCAGAGGATCTCGGTGGGGTGAGGAGATTTGGTTGAACAGACCATAAACTGGCCCCTGGCGCACCTTTTTTTCATCTCACCTCTGCAGCTTGGGGATTCCAGAGCTGCAAACAACCACTGTTCCATAAGCCTGTTGTCTTTTGACGTTTCCAGGCAGACATCAACATTGACATTGTAATTCAATAGAAGCTGTGACTACAAAGGTGCTTTATCCTTCTAGGTTAGTATGGTTGCTACGGAAACAATTCAGGATGAAGCTGACTTTATTTGTGGTTCTGCTTCACTTGGTTGGAAACAACGCCAACTAGCAAAGGTGCAATTCATTTATAATCACTGCTCCCAAAGTGTGTTGGTGAAAATTTTTTATAGAGATCTAGCCCATACTTAGAAATTGTGGAACTGAAGAGGGATGTGAAAAGCTTACCATATTTTATTCCATCTTACTTTGCGAGAGCTCATACAACTTTTAATCGTTATGGATCAGATGTTTTCTAAAAATTGCATTGTGAAACAATGTTTGGTTGTTCCGTGTTTTCACCTATAGCAAATGAATTTCAAAAGTTTATGCTTACTTTTTAAAGACATTAGAAGTACACACAGTTTTTAAAGGTAATATAATATGTGAAGGTTATATACATTACCCACTTCTTCTTTACCTTCTTAATCACCTGAGAGGCAACCACATTCCACTTTTATCTGTCTCTTTTGTCATTTACCTCCAGACTTATCAATAAATGTCATGGTTATCTCTTGATTGATCTGTTTAGATGTCCTACGTTGACTACCTGTTGCCTCAGATAGAGATGCAGCTTTTTCACACCCACCCAGCTTCCCCTTCTGCCATTTTTCCCACACAGCTCTTTCAGTTTATAGGTCGTAAGTAGTTGGGACTGTGTAAACCAGTCAGCGGAGCCAAATGGTGAACTATGGTTGTTTTCCTTCTTATAAAATCTTTTATATATTTACTTTGTTATGCACCCACCTGATATTTTTTCTACAACATGTTGATCAAATAACTATCAATTTTATTTTCCAAATGATCAAACAATCAATTTTATTCCCCAGCCCCCACCCCCACCCTCACCCCCGCAACATCCTTCCAAGTCTTCTGTCCTCCTGTCCAATGGAGATGAGGTTTCTAAATTGAAATTGTTCATTTATAAGTTTGTAGAAATTGCTCTTTTATCTTCTAGCATCCAGTGTTGCTGTTGAGAATTTCATTGCTACCCTTATTCCATTCTTTTGTGACCTGCAATTTTTCTTTCTGGAAACTTTTAGAAGAATCCCTTTATCTCTTATATTGTGAAATT